CATCTCCTCATCAGCCGTATACTGAGGAACGAGAAGAGCCCTCTCCCTGAACTTGGCGGTAATCTCCACCACAATCTCAGTAGTCTGAGTAAGATCCTGAAACTCCCTCGCTAACTGCTGCACCTCGATAACCGGTACAAACTCGACTCTGAACCTGGTAGTGAAATCGGTCCAGGTCATCGCATCGAGAGCTGCGTCATCTCCCATGACATGTCCGATCTCCTCCCACCAATCTCGTGCCCTGTCCTTCAGGAAACAGGATGCTAGTCTGACCTGGTCCCCCTCGGGACATCTGCTGGTGCGGAATGCATTGGCAACATCCGCCAACCACCTGGTACTCGCAATGGGATCCCGCGCCCCATGGTAGTCAGGAGCTCCACATGCTCTGAACTCCCTGAAAGTGAGGGTGCGCGACCCCATCATGGCCGCCACCTCAACACAAAATGTGCTCAACTTCTCGTCCATCAGCTCCAAAATACCCTCCTTGATCGAACCGAAGATCACACGAGTCTACTCGAGTATGATGCGAGTAACCTCTGAGGAGAGAAACTCCCTAGTCTGCTCATCCAAATGCTCGGCCCCCGAGCCTGATCCCGATCCCTCACCGGCACCTGAACTGCCGACTGCTGGTCTAGGGCGTAAAACCACCATTCTGAAAACACATAATGACAATGTCAGGAATACAGATATATCTCGAGGGATCGCTACTACTACAAGTTTCCTGGTCTCATCTCAGCCTTCCTTGATTCGAGTACGGATCCTCTGCTTTCAGTAGTACGGGCCCATACTACCTTCCACATCTATCCGTACTTTCCTCAAGAACTGCCTTGACTCCACCAAGTCCCTTTTACTACCACTGCTCTCTGCTACACTCATCCTAGGCTTGCCCTAGGGTAATCACCAACCCACTCTCCACTACCAGCTGCACAAGAAGTCCCGACTACCTCCCCCTAACTAGCTCGTGAATACTATTACATATCACTAAGACTAGATAATTCTTCGAATGAGAGATCCTACCCTACAACGGTTGGACTCAGACAAGAGCTGCGCAATAGAGCTAGACCTAACCTTCTGAAATTATTTAATACTCACAATATGTAACGTAACATATTAATTTACTAGTTAGTGAAAGATAACTAAGACTCCTAAAAGCATAAAGCAAGCAGCATTCGAGCATCGAGTACACATAATCAAGCATATACTACTCTGGCTATCATACTGACAATTCTGTACTAGCATGCAGTTTTCATAGAGCTGAAACACATATAACAGGCACATAAGGCATCCTTCCTAGATCCTTAGTCTTAATCTAGCATGCTGTTCTAATAAAGCTGATAATCATAGCATAACATAAACTCGTATGGATAATTTGGGAGTACTTACTTGAGCTCGGCTGATTGCATGCACCACACCCCCCCCCTTTTTTTCAAAGTTCTTTTGTTTCTAAAATTCTTTTTGCTTTTTTAAAACTCTTTTCTTTTGAAAACTCTATACCACTTCCTTAGTTTGAGTTCAGACACACCCGAAAGTGTGCCCGAATCCCTCAAACCAAGGCTCTGATACCAACTTGTAACATCCCAAAAATACAACCCAAAAATTTTTGTTTGAAAACTTTACTAAACCATAATATCAATTATTAAAAGATAAAACCATGAATTGTGTATCTCAAAATGTCATAATAAATTTATCAAATCGAAACTAGTGTCAAGATCATATCAAAATATCAGAGTCTAACTCCCAGGCTAAAACTGTGGTGTGTGCCATGCCATCATCCCGAGCCCCTCTCTTTGCTAGCTGAAGTACCTGAAACCGAAACTGAAACTGTAAGCACGAAGCTTAGTGAGCTCCCCCAAACTACCACATACCATACAATAACATATAAAGCACATATTGGGCCGCCAACTCGTCGAGTCCCTATCTTTCCTTCTACTCCCCTTCCCGACTCTACTCATCGAGTTTAACCAAAACTCGATGAGTTCTCCTTCTTTACTGATATCCTGCCAACCTTCATCCGACTCGCCGAGTTGTATGAACAACTCGTCGAGTCTGTTCTTACGGGTAAGGAGATTGCCTTGGACTCGCCGAGTCAGGGCGTAGACTCGCCGAGTCCCTCTACACTCAGATCCATGTCTTAACTCACTGAGTCTTTACTCCACTCACTAACGGACTCGCTACTACTGAACAGGGAATCTAAGACTCACGACCGGACTCGCCGAGTCCGAAGAACGACTCGCCTAGTCCTTTGCATTCAGTTTCTATTCAGTCGATTCTAATCAGTTTCAGTGCATCCAATTCATAGATCTGGGTTTCTGGGACAATCTGAACACGTAAAGTTGCTAACTTTACGTGTATCTATGATGCAATGAAGCAATAACGCTCAAACTTGGCTATAATGGGGGTTACTTGTCTAGAACAAGGCCATGGCTGCCAAAAGGTGGCCTTCTTGAGCTCCTGGAACTCAAGAGAGGCTAGATCCGAGATATGGCTTGATTACAAAGCTTCATCACTAGGGATTTGGGGTTTTTGAGCTTAAAACCATCAATTTGGGGACAAACTAGATCTAGCAATACAATAACCAAGATGAAAGCTTTATTACCAGAAAGGATGGCCAAAGAGGAGTATAATCTAGATCTACTTCTTCTTCCTTGAGTTCTTCTACCTTCTCCTTCTTCTTCTTGCTCAACAATGCACCAAGATTCCTTCACAAGGGCAAAACTCACTGACATACACTTCAAGGAGGCTAGGGTTTCGGGAATAAGTCTCTGAGAGGAGTTGGAGGCTGGGATGGGGGCTATAAGGACGTTTAAATAGGGTACAAACCCTAAGAATTAGGGTTTCATCCAGACTGGCAGACTCGTAGAGTCGGGAATGGACTCGTCGAGTCGCCCCACTAAGTCCACGTGCATTCTCGCTTCTACTCGACGAGTCGGGGCTACTGACTCGTCGAGTAACCCTAAGAAAGGAAATTCAATATTTAAATTACATACCAGCAATGGAGCGTTACAGTTGCGAAGTCAGCTCCTATCTGAAGTCCTTTCCTTCCGAGGGTGCGAGGGTTCCGAGGCAGCAAAGGCTTCTGGTCTGAAGCTGCGAGATCTTCCGGAGTGGTGCGAAGCTTTCCGGAGTCGGCAGTTCCGGATCAGCAGATGTCCGAAGCGAGATTGTCCGGTGGGAGGGTCCAAAGTCAGTTAAGGGGTTCCGAACTGGGCTTGCTCTTTCAAGTTTTTCTCCTTTCGTTTGGAGTTGGTTTCGACTAAGGAAGCTACATAGGGAGATTTGAGAGAGATTTGAGGTACATAGAGAGATTTGAGATACATATATGCTTTGCATTATAACAATACATGGTTCATTAGGAACCATAATGTAAACTTTAACGTGTTTGCACAAGTCTTACAATAGTTGATGTTTACATGAGAACAAAATTTCCTAGCTAAAAATGCTAGTTGTGACATCATCCCCCCGTTAGAGGGAATTTCGTCCCGAAATTCTTTTGAAAGGTAGGATCATGAACGCGAGAATAAGTGAGGGTACTTCTGCTTCATCTGGTCCTCACGTTCCCAAGTGAATTCCGGTCCACGCTTAGCGTTCCATCGAACCTTCATAATCAGAATGTGACTCTATTTCGTGCGCTTCACTTCCCTATCCATTATCTCGACCGGTTCTTCGACGAACGGGAGATTCTCGTTTATCTCGATCTCTTCTGTAGGAATGACAAAGGTTTCATCTGTTAAGCACTTTTTCAAATTTGATACGTGGAATACAGGGTGTACGTTGTTGAGCTCCGAAGGTAGCTGCAGCTTATAGGCCACCAGGCCAACTCGGGAAAGAATCTCGAACGGTCCAATGTATCGCGGGTTTAACTTTCCTCGTTTCCCAAAACGGATCATCCCTTTCCATGGAGAGACCTTTAATAGTACTCGATCTCCGACTTGGAACTCCAGAGGTTTTCGTCGTTTGTCAGCGTAACTCTTTTGTCGGTCACGCGATGCTTGGAGTCGGGCTTTGATTTGGATTATCTTCTCTGTAGTTTCTCGAATGATTTCTGGTCCCATAAGGGTGCTACTCGGTGATTTCCATTTTGCCAGCTGGGTGTCACCCACTTCAGCCCAACAAAGGGGCGATCTGCACTTCCGGCCATACAAGGCCTCAAAGGGAGCGACTCCTATGCTCGTATGGTAGCTGTTCTTATATGAACATCCAACTAGGGGCAAGTGGGTATCCCAGAATTTGCCAAAATCTATTACACATGCTCGGAGCATGTCTTCTAGAGTCTGAATAGTTCGCTCGCTTTGGCCATCAGTCTGAGGGTGGTAGGCAGTGCTTATATCCAGTTGGGTTCCCAATGCTTTCTGGAGCGACTGTAAAAAACGAGAGGTGAATCTACTATCTCGATATGAGATAATAGATATGGGGACTCCATGAAGTCTCACCACCTCTTTCAGGTATATTCAAGTTAGCCTTTCCATCTTGCACGTCTCCTTTATTGGCAGGAAATGGGCGGATTTTGTTAATCGGTCAACGATCACCCAGATAGCATCCAGACCGTCTGCCGTCTTGGATAATTTGGTTATAAAATCCATTGTTATCCTCTCCTATTTCCACTCGGGTATTTCGGGTTGTTGAAGTAGACCTGAGGGCTTTTTATACTCCACTTTAACGTTGGCACAAGTGAGACACTTGCCTACGTATGTGGCAATCTCCGCTTTCATATTCGGCCACCAATAATGTTGTTTGATATCCAGGTACATCTTGTCGGAACCCGGATGGATAGAGTATCTTGTTTTGTGAGCCTCATTCATTATCACGTCTCGGAATCCACCGAAATTTAGTGTCCAAATCTGGTCCGTGAGGTAATAGGCTCCATCTTCCTTGACCGTCAGATTCTTTTCCATTCCGCATAACCCCTCATTGGCGACGTTTTCTAGTTTCAAGGCTTCTTGCTGAGCCTCCTTGATTTGTGAGGATAGATGGGAATGGACGGTCATTGTTAGCGTCCTTACTCAGCGGTCCGAGTACTCCTTTCGGCTTAAGGCATCGACTACCACATTCCCTTTTCCTGGGTGGTACTTGATTTCGCACTCATAGTCGTTTAGCAGTTCGACCCATTTCCGATGTCTCATGTTCAATTCCTTTTTATTCAGAATGTGCTGGAGGCTCTTGTGGTCTGTGAAAATGGTGCACTTTGTACCATATAGGTAGTGCCTCCAAATATTTAAGGCGAAGACCACAACTCCTAGCTTGAGATCGTGGGTGGTGTAGTTTACTTCATGGGTCTTTAGTTGCTTAGATGCGTAAGCTATCACCTTTCCGCGCTGCATAAACACACAACCTAACCCTTGGTTAGAAGCATCGCCGTATACAACGAAGTCTTCCGTTCCTTTTGGCAAGGACAACACTGGAGCACTGCAGAGGGCTCGTTTCAGCGTTTGGAAAGCAACTTCTTGTTTGCCATTCCAATGGAAAGATACACCCTTCTGGATGAGAGTGGTGAGATGCTTGGCAATTTTGGAAAAATTTTGGATGAAACTTCGGTAATAACCAGCAAGGCGTAAAAATTGTCGAATTTCGGTTGGAGTTCTTGGGGTTGCCCAACCCTCAATAGCTTTGATCTTGGTAGGGTCCACATGTATTCCTTCTTTACTGACTACATGTCCCAAGAATTCCACTCTACGAATCCAGAAGTCGCATTTGGAGAACTTTGCGTAAAGCTTCTCTGCTCTCAGTGTTCCCAAAATTTGTCGTAAGTGCTGGGTGTGCTCTTCTTTACTCTTAGAGTAAATGAGTATATCATTGATGAAAACAATCACAAAGCTGTCGAGAAACGGCCGGCAGACTCTGTTCATCAAGTCCATAAAGGCTGCAGGTGCATTTGTGAGACCAAAAGGCATGACCACGAACTCGAAATGTCCATAACGGATTCAGAAAGCAGTCTTTGGAACATCCTCATCTCGGACCCTTAGTTGGTGGTATCCGGACCTCAGATCTATCTTGGAGAAGTAGCTGGCTCCCTGGAGCTGGTTGAATAGATCATCGATTCTAGGGATGGGTATCGATTCTTGACAGTAAGCTTGTTTAACTCCCGATAATCGATGCACATTCTGAAAGATCCGTCTTTCTTTTTGACAAACACGACTGGAGCTCCCCAAGGTGAAAAGCTCGGCCTGATGAATCCTTTGTCGAGAAGTTCGCTTAGTTGGCTAGATAACTCTTGCATCTCGGCATGAGCTAATATGTAAGGTGATTTGGCGATTGGAGTGGCTTCAGGTACAAGATCGATTCGGAACTCGACCTGGCGCTCGGGAGGTATTCCTGGTAAATCCTCGGGAAATACGTCGGGAAAGTCACGTACTTCTGAAATATCGTTGATGTTTTTCTCCTCCTTTGTTTTATCCACAACATGAGCGAGAAAGGCGTGATTCTTTTTATGCAAGCACTTTTGTGTTTTGATGCAAGAAATGAGTTGGAGGTTTATGCCGGGTTTATCGGCATAAACTATTAGGGTTTTGTTGTTGGGTAGATGAAGGCGAACGACCTTCTCGTGACACATAATTTCAGCATGGTGGGGGCTTAACCAATCCATGCCAACAATCACATCAAAGCTCCTAATATTAACAGGCATCAAATCGATTTGAAAGGAGTGATTATTTAATGTTAGTGTGCACCCTACGTAGATATCTTTGGTTGATTTTGTTTTACCATTGGCCATTTAGACCGTAAAAGTTTCGATCAATTTGCAGGGATTTTGATCGAGTAGGTGTTTGAATCCGTGACTTACGAAGCTTTGCTTAGCACCACTATTAAATAAAATGCACGCATAAGAGTTGTTGAGGGGAAACGTACCACTCACTACAGTTGGATCTTGCACTGCCTCTCCTTGCCCCATGGATAGGACCCTTCCTGCGTTCTGATTGTCATTCTTGGGGCAGTTGTGTTTAAAATGGCCGGTTTCTCCGCATCCGTAACATGCACGGCTGGCTCCGGCATTGTTGTCATTGGGCTGCTTGTTTTGTTGTGGGGGCATCTTGCAATATCGGACAGTGTGTCCTTTTCGATTGCAGTTGGTGCATTGGAAGTCCTTGCATGCCCCGAAGTGGTGGTAATTACACTTGTCACATTTGGGATTGGAACCCGCGTATGACTTGGCTGGCGCTGTTGTGGTTGAGGCTGGGGCGGGTGGAGCTGGTGCGGCTGGTGTGGTAGCAGAATGGACTGCTATGGTCTTTGGTTTCTTGGAAGGCCCTGAATTCTGTCGCCCTTTTCGCTTGTTATCCCAGTTCTTCTTGTTCCCTCCTTCTTGTTTGCTTTCTCCCTCGGTTGCTTTGGTACTTTTCTTGTCGTCGTGATCATAAAGCTTCTTGGCTAGGCGCTTTGCACTGTCATAGGTCTCGGGTTTCGAGGCAATCACATTACCTTGAATGGGAGGCGTCAATCCCCAGATGAATCGTTCGACTTTATTTCCCTCAGACGTAATCATACCAGGATACAAAAGCACGAGTTCATTAAACCTCGAGATGTAGACGTCAATGTCCGAGTTCTGCACTGTAAGGTTGCACAGTTCTTGCTCGAGTTTTTGTACCTCCCCTCGGGGACAGTACTCGGCGATTAACATCTCCTTGAGTTCTTCCAAGGACATGGAGTTAGCAACAGGGAGTGTCATGGCTTCAATGTGACCGTTCCACCATGACAATGCCTGGTCGATGAATGTGCAGGTCGTGAATTTGACTTTACTCCCTTCCGGACATTCGCATATCTCGAACACCAACTCAACCTTCTCAATCCATCGTTTCAAAGCTATGACTCCTCCAGTCCCGTTGAAAGTGCGGGGTCTTGCATTGGAAAAGTCCTTGTAGGTACAGGCCTTTACAGGCCCTTGATTCATCCCTTGGTGGGAGCTTCCCGTCCCTTGGCCATTTCCACCACCATTATTTCCGTTTTAAATGTGGGCTAGAGCCGCTGTCACTGCAGCTGAAACTGCCGCTTGGAAGGCCGCAGAGTTCATCTCCGGCGGGGGCGGTGGTGGTGGTGCTGTGTTGTTATTCTTACAGATCGGTCTCCTCAGCATCTTTCTGTCATGGAACAGAAGGACAATGAGTATCCAATGTATTTTGTTTCACGATTTCTTGATTATAGAATAGTGTCGGTGATTCGGTTGTATATAAGCAAGTGTGTGTATACAATCAACATGTAATAATAGTAATAGAGCACATAACAGGTAACACATCATGAGAAAATATATAGCCATTTTCATTGATGATAATCTTTTGAGTACATGAAAATTTGCCTATATAAGGCATACAATACATGAAATAAAATCCGACAAAGTAACGACTCCATGAGTAGCGTAATCACTTAATCATGTAGTCGATGGTACATAGAGTAGTGCATGAAGGAAAAATCAATACGGTAGCGAGTGAACGGGTACTAGCTGCGACGAGTAGGGTCTGGTGGTGCCGACGATGAGGTAGATGCGCTATGAAGTCTAGCCAGGTGCTGCTTGGCGGCCCGAAGCCGGGCTTCCAATGTTGTCTGACGCACCTGGTACTCCCTGACTACCTCCTGTGTCATCCTCTCTGCGCGCTCAACCGCGACCCTCATGGCCACCATTTGGCCGGTGGTTGCCTGCCTCTGCTCGCCAATGTCGCGTGTCCTCCTTACCATCACAGGCAGGGCTCGGTCTGCAGGTCCACCGTGACTTAAGTCGTAGTAGTATCGGTTCATACCAAATGAAGGTCTTACCCCTTGTTGACGGCTCCAGCTCTAGATCTCGTGTGCCCATGGGGGCGTAGGATCATTGGGGCCCATCCTGTATGGGGGCACTCTTGCCATGTAGGGCAGATTGATGACTTCAGACTCAGCGTCCGAATCATCTGCGTCGCTGCCATCATCCTCCTCCTCGTCTGAGTCAGCTACCGGTTCGGCCGGTCCTCCTATAGGCTCTTCCTCCGGCTCTTCTTTTAGTTCTTCCTCTGGCTCTTCCTCTGGCTCCAACCATCCACCATTTCCCTGGTTGGGGAAATAGGGATCTCCTGGATGGTGGAATCTGGCCATAGTGTCTGCACGAGGGGTGAGAAACGTGTAAGGAGAGTATGTGTAAATAGGTTCCAAAATACTCCTATAGTATTTTAATTGTTTAGGTTTGGCTCTTAAAACTTTTGGATAACGAGTTAGGAAGTTTTAGACTTGTTGTAACACCACTACCACTCCCAAACACATGTTGGTCATATCTCGAATAAATATAGTTGATCAGGCTATATTTATCCCAGATATGATTACATAACTGTCCAGGTTTGACTGTAGTGTTCAACCTTTAAGTTCTCTTGTTTTGTTCCTGTTATGATACGTTTCTAGCAAGTATGTATACTTTTAGTCAGAGTGTTTTAGTCCCATTGTGTTTACAGTTGTATATCTTGTATGGCTAGATATACTAGCTCACTATAAACAATGCTCTGATACCAATCTGTCACACCCACGGACCAGAACGACGGAAACGTCCGGAGGCGGGTGATGTCATTGTGCAGTATCATAACAATTGAATATAAATGAATCATAGCAAATCCAATCATCATACATCAATATAACAAACTTACATTGTTTTACATCTTGCTTATGTTCTTGAATTACACAAAAGAGACAACATTGAGTAATACCAAACTACATCAAAATAATATTGAATCCGCATTCCACTAACCTGCTTACTGATTTCCTGAGAATACAAGTCATTTGAAAAGCGTCAACATAAAATATGTTGGTGAGTTCATAAGCATTTTTGCATAAAAATCTGTGATAGTTGGAAACCAGAAAATCCCATATTTTCTTATCATAATAGTTGTAAGTCTTGTTTCTAATCAAGTATAGTTGCATGTGTGTTTTAGTTTATCGTTTTCGAAATCGTATAAAATCGTTTTCCCTAGAAAATCCTATATTTTATGACGTATAAAATAGTAGTCTTAAAACCCTAAGACTTGTGTGGTAAAAGCTTTGTTTAACGTATCCAACCAATAGTTGTTTATAATCGAAAGGTGTAACTTGCGTAAAGTTATAAATAATAACTGGTATATTCTAAGTGAGTCGTTATAACCATACTAATATGACGGAGTGCCTGTTCTGACGTTCTTTAGGTGTCGGTTTTGTTTAAGACATTTGTCACCCTAGACTGGCCAGTCTAGCTGTAACGAACAACAAAGGTGCGGGGTGTCAACCCCGTATAGATCTATACACAAATTCTCGCTCCCCCTCCAGGAGACTCTGGTTATAACTCTTACAGGACTTTAAGCGTACACTATTTTATATATATATATATATATATATATATATATATATATATATATATATATATATATATATATATATATATATATATATATATATATATATATATAGGTACTGTGAAGTTGCGAAGTCAGCTCCTATCCGGAGTCCTTTCCTTCCGAGGCTGCGAGGGTTCCGAGGCAGCAAAGGCTTCCGGTCCGAAGCTGCGAGATCTTCCAGAGTGGTGCGAAGGTTTTCGGAGTCGGCAGTTCCGGATCAGCAGATGTCCGAAACGAGATTGTCCGGTGGGAGGGTCCGAAGTCACTTAAGGGGTTCCGAACTGGGCTTGCTCTTTCAAGTTTTTCTCCTTTCGTTTGGAGTTGGTTTCGACTAAGGAAGCTACATAGGGAGATTTGAGAGAGATTTGAGGTACATAGAGAGATTTGGGAGAGATTTGAGATACATATATGCTTTGCATTATAACAATACATGGTTCATTAGGAACCATAATGTAAACTTTAACGTGTTAGTACAAGTCTTACAATAGTTGATGTTTACATGAGAACATAATTTCCTAGCTAAAAATGCTAGTTGTGACAATGCATGCGTGAAATACCTCCAAGATCCATTTTAGCCTTCATTGTGGACATAGTGAATGAATGGGACATGGATGCTATTAAAGTTTGCAACTTTAATCCTCTAGAGGTCTTATAGAGGCCAGATCTACACTCCTAACCTCTGGAAACCTCTTATCTTGGGATATCCAACCCAAAGTCCCAAAACAAGCCCTAAACTACCAAAAGATGAGATCTAAAACACTACATGTCAAGGTTATGGCTTTATACCTTCAAAATGCAGCCCTTGATGTAGAGTTTCTGGATCCAAGATCACTCCTCCAAGATTGTTACTTCTCTCTTCAAGGCTTCCTTCAAAAATCACACCACAACACTCAAAACTTCAATGAACAAGAGGGGGATGCGGTTCTAAGGTTTCTCTGAGTAAGGACGCTCGTAAGGAGGCCATCCATAATGGTTAAGTTCTTTAAATAGGGTACTAAACCCGGAAAATTAGGGTTTTCCTCTATAGTGTCTACTCGTCGAGTTGGGGCCTTCCAACTCGTCGAGTAGACCCTAAGTCCCGCGTCCAATATCGATCTCTACTCGTCGAGTTGGGCTCCCCAACTAGTCGAGTCCCAGTGCAAAACCTTAAAAAATAAATGATACCTGGAACAAGCGTTACAAATCTGCCCCACTTGAACTAGACTTCGTCCTCAAAGTCTGCTGACGTAAAAAAAATTCGGGTAGTGATCTCGCATCTCCTCTTCCGGCTCCCATGTCCATTCAGAGCCTCTTCGGTGCTGCCATTGCACCTTCACTAACTTCACCTCTTTGTTATGAAGGACCTTGGTCTTCCTATCCAGAATCACAATGGGCCTCTCAATGTAGTTTAGGCTCTCACCCACCTGAATGTCGTCTAGAGAGACAACTGCGGCCTCGTCTGTGACACACTTCCGAACCTGGGACACGTGGAAGGTGTTGTGTATCTGGCTAAGCTCGTTTGACAGATCCAAGCGATAGGCCACCTTGACCACCCATGCAGTAATCCTGAACGGTCCGATATATCAGGGCCGTAGCTTGCCCTTCTTCCGAAACCTAATGACACCCTTCCATGGTGACACCTTCAGCAAGACGAAATCCCCCACCTGAAACTCAAGATCCGATCGGCGCCGATCATCATAGCTTTTCTGACGGCTCTGTGCAATTCACAGCCTGTCACACACCTGCTGAATCAACTCAGTAGTCTTGAGAACCACCTTGGTGCTCCCCATGACTTGATGCCCTACCTCACCCCAGAAAACAGGGGTCCTACACCTCCGACCATACAACATCTCAAATGGGGGTCGGTCGATACTAGCATGATATCTATTGTTATATGAAAACTCTGCTAGTCGGAGGTATGTATCCCAACTTCTACTTCTCCACCACCTCTCGCACATAAATATCCGCTAATTTCTCAGCGGAGATGCTCTCGGAGATCAGAATAAAGTGGGCACTCTTCGTCAATCTATCCACAATAACCCATATGTCATCCACACCCCTCGCCATCCTCGGTAACTTCGTGATGAAGTTCATGGTGATCTCTTCCCATTTCCACATAGGAATGGGTAACGGCTGAACCTTGTTGTTAGGCCTTTGATGTTCGGCCTTGACCTTTCTGCAGGTCAAGCACCGCTCCACGAACCACGCAATATCCTGCTTCATTCAGGGCCACCAGTAACCCAACCTCAGATCCATATACATTTTCGTGGCACCTAGGTGAATAGAGAACTTGGATCTGTGTGCCTTCTCCAGGATCTTCTGCCTCACACCTCCATTTACCCGTACCCACACCCGGCCACACTGTGTCAGAAAACCTCGACTATCCCGAACAAACAAGGGAAATTGATCCCGAATCTGCTCTATCTTCCAATTCTCTTTCTTCACACCCTCTACATGAGCTTGCTTGATTATATCCACTAATGGAGAGATCACCGTCATCCTCAAACAAACATTCCCGATCGGAGCACTTGCCGCTTTGCGGCTCAAAGCATCGGTCACCACATTGGCCTTCCCTGGGTGGTACAAGATCTCG